ATTGGACACTACCTAGGAATGTTCATGTGAGGGCATTCCTCCCTGCCCAGATTCTTCAAGTCCTCATGGTTGGTTTATTCAGTAAGTACTTATTTTATGCTTGATATATGCCAGACACTGTGCTAATAAACATTGTGGATACAAAGTGCTATTAGAGGCCGGGCTTGGTGGCTCAACCTGTAATCCCAGCACTTTGGGAGGCCGAGGTGAGTGATTGCCTGAGCCTGTGGGTTCGAGACCCACCTGGGCAACTTGGTGAGACCTCATCTCTACAGTAAATAAAAAAAGTTAGTGGGCGTGGTAGCATGCACCTGTAGTTCCGGCTACTTGGAAGGCTGAGGTGGAAGGATCGCTGGTGCCCAGCAGGTCGAGGCTGCGGTGGCTGGGAGCGTGCCACTGCACTCCAGTCTAGGTGACAGAGTGAGACTCCAACTCAAAAAAAGAATAGTCATAAATGATAAATCATAGTGGATAAGGGCTATAGTGAATTATGAATGACTGTAGCAGGAATACAGAGGAGGAAAATACATGTTAACTATTCCAGGAGGTCTTGGAACCCATAAAGGAGGTGCTCTTCAGTCCGAGGAGTTAATTGACTTGCCTAATGTCATACAACTGGTAAATGACAGAACCAGGTTTTGAACCAAGGTCTCTGGATTTCAGACAGAGTCTATTGTGTTTATCATTACCTGTACTACTGAAAAGACCTGAATGTTTCTGGAAAAGAAATATTCTGAATCTTAACCAGAATACTCAGGAATATGGCCACTTGTTCGTCATCATTTTCTGTCCGTATCTTTGACCTTTCCTAGTATAGAAAGATAACCAAATTAATTAGCCAGAGAGTCCCTGGCAGCATCAGAGGCAAGGAGGAAACAACAGCAGTTGGCATGCCAGGGAATGAGGACCTACAGAAGAAAATGCAGATTCAAAAAAGAGTTGAAATAGTCTGTGTTTTAGTCTAGTCCCTTTTAAACTCACAGAAATTCATTATGTGTGGCCACCTAACCTGATTTGTTATATTTATTTTGGGCTCAAGGAAATGTCAGAATTATACTAGCTTTAAAGAGGAGATTTTTTTTTTTTTTTTTTTAGTTGGAGTTTCACTCTTTGTCACTCAGGCTGGAGTGCAGTGGCACACTCATGGCCACTGCAGCCTTGACCTGCTGGGCTTAGGCAATTCTTCCGCCTCAGCCTTCCAAGTAGCTGGAACTACAGACACACGCCACCATGCCCGGCTAGTTTTTGTGATTTATTGTAGGACAAGGTCTCACCAAGTTGCCCAGGTTGGTCTTGAACCCCAGGGCTCAGGCAATCTTCTCGCCTCGGCCTCCCACATTGCTGGGATTACAGGCTGAGCCACTGTGCCTGGTCAAAGAGCAGACTTTTATAAGTGTTCGTTAGTTTTGACCATGTGTTTTTTCAAGAAACCAACCCATTCAGAGTTGATGAGAAATAGTTTGTAAAATTATAAAGCCCTTGTCTTTACTTTTTTTTTTTCTTAGTGTGCTTTTGTTTTATTTCTTATTTTCATTAGCCAACTGTGATTCTTGCTTTTGTCCCTGTGTGTGAAAGATGATAATAGCACAAACTACACCCATTTGTCTGGAAATTGAATTCTAACCTTAATAGGGAAGATTAATGAAAGAGAGACTAAGATTTTCCTGGAATTCCAAAAATTTATCTCTTCCCAAAAGTGATTCATAAATGCTGGGAAGATTCTTCCTTCTCTAGGGTTTCTATTTCAGATTCAAACTCTTGTTTACATGTATCCTAGAAAGTCTGTTAAACTCCTTTGAGTTTCAGGGATCTTTGTTAGAGTTAAATGCAGGTAGGTTCTTCTTCCAAAAACTTAACAGGTCATGAAAATTAAATTAATAATCTTACTTTCTTAATTTTGAGGTAGAAGAATGATCTTAGAGTCTCTGTCTTCAAACAACTGAAGCATTGTTATGTTGGAAAATATTTAACTCCTTTTGTGTCATTCCAGTGGATTGAACCTATGTGTGGAAGACAGACTTCAATTCAGTTTAAGGAAGAAGTATTTTTTTTTTTTTTAGTTGACGACTCACTCTGTCACCCAGGCTGGAGTTCAATGGCAAGCTCACAGCCATCGCAACTTTGACCTGCTGGGCTCAGGCGATCCTTCCACCTCAGTCTTCTCCAAGTAGCTAGAACTACAGGTGTATGCCACCGCTTCCAACCCAGAAAGAAGTATTTTAACATATCTGCTCAGGAAGGGTGTTGGCTGCTTGAGGAGGGTATGTAGTGGTCCATCTTGAAGTTTTAATGTATGAGTTGGATGACCATCTCCTGGGTGTGTATGGTAGATTCAGATGTTGGGTAGAATATCATATTAGGTGGACTCTGGGGATTCATCCCACTCTGAGTTTACCAGGAAATAGGGGGAGGGGAAGAAGTGAGACAGCTAACACAGGGTTCAAACGGAGCTACAGCTGATAAGAGGAGGAGAAGGGGGAAATTGAGAGTTTGGTGTGTCTCTTCCATCCATTAGAGCCCTACAAAGGTTATGTTTTCTCTGCTAGAGACATTTAAGAAATTGTTGGCTCTTGTCTTATCAGAGGTTCTGCAGAACTTAAGGAATTTTTGGCATGATCACAGAAACGGAACAATTCTGCTTCTGTAATAAGCCTCTGGCTAGAGACATCAAGTGATGCTAGATCAGAAGTGTCCTAGTTGTGAACTTTAGGTGAGAGCAACAGCTTCTGTCAGTTGATTTCATTTTCTTTCTGATAATTTTCAAAATTCTTACTTTGTCACATTGCACTAAACCTCCGCAACAGTAGTATTCAAACTGAGACTATTCTCTTGTTCTGAATGGGCTGGTTTTCTCAGCTTCTGTTTCCATCTTTACTACATAAAAATGTTGCATGAACATTCTCAGCACTGGAATTTGAAGTAGGAAGAAAGCTGAAATTGACATGTCCTTGTTTTCAACTTAGATTTAGTGGTTTCTGGGGAGAAATGTGGTGAAGTTGGTAAGAGTATGAATTTTTTATGTCAGGCCTGTATTTGACTCTCAGTTCTACTGTTCACCACCTGTATCACCTTAGACAAGTGACCTATCTTCTCTGGACCTCACTGTCTTCATCTGTAAAGATATTATTTCTCAGATAGCCAGTGTGCATGTAAATGAGATAATATACATAACAAGTATTTCATACACATAGTAGAAACTCAGTAAATATTAGCTGCTTTATTTTTGTGGTAGCAGTAGAAATTTATTACTTTTGTTATGAGAGGTTATCTTGAAATGGACATTGGGTTGAATATGTGCCTCCTTGTTAGGGCGTTATGCTGTGAACGACACATAACATTTTGAGTAGTGGTTTAATTCCACAGTTTTCCAAAAGGAAATAAACTAGTAAAGAAAAGCAGAAAGACTTAGTTTAAAAGCACTAATACTTACTCTTCTATCTTTACTTCCTTCTTTCCTCTTCAGATAGAAATAATAGATTTGGTAATCTTCTGCATCAAAATATGCATAAAGTGGTTGAGGTTATCATGGGAGTAAGAAAAGAGAAGGATTGACTGGGTGTGGTGGCTCATACCTGTAATCCCAGCACTTTGAGAGGCCAAGATGGGAGGATTGCTTGAGGCTAGGAGTTAGGAACTTGGGCAACATTGCGAGATCCCATCTCTATTTTTTAAAATACAGACATACACATACACACGCATATTTGTTTTTAAGAGAGAAAAGAGAAGGATTGAAGGTAGAATCTTAAGTGGCACAGACAGAGTTTCCAGGGAGGAAGGTCAGGAAAATTACAAAGCAGGAGTCAGTTTAGTATACTGGAAAGTACATTGAAGTGGAGAGATCTGGGTTCTTCTAATCTCACTTTGTCCATTCATAGTTTGTACCCTTCCCTGCTATATAGACTGAACTTGATCACAAAATCTTTTTGAATACCTGAGATTCTCCTTCTGAATGGAGCAAGAGCTACTTGGAAAGTAAAGAACAGATGAACCAGGATAGTGTAATGTCTGAGAAACTGGAATTTCAAAAGGAACAGTATCAGATGTTACAGAAATAAAGGAGGATGAGAGCTGGGGAAAGGATGAGGTATGCAAGAGGCCACTTAGTCTACAGACAGAGAAATACCTGCAGTGTGAGATTTACTATGAAATACCAGGTAACAGGAATTACTCCAAGCTGGGAAGTGGCTCACACCTGTAATCCCACCACTTTGGAAGACAGAGGCGAGAGGATTGCCTGAGCCTGGGGGTTCGTGACCAGTCTGGGCAACTTGGTGAGACCTCATCTCTACCATAAATTTTTAAAATTAGCTGGGTATAATGGTGCATCCTGTAGCTCCAGCCACTTGGAGGGCTGAGGTGGAAGGATCTCGTGAGCCCAGCAGGTCAAGGATGCAGCAGCTGTGAGCGTGCCACTGCACTCTAGCCTGGGCGACAGAGTGAGACTCCAACTCAAAAAAAAAAAAAATGATTCCAAGTCCTCTTGCTGACTTTGTAGGTAAGATTGATGTTAATAAAAATCTTCCTGATGCATTAAGAAACATGTAAGCCAGGCCCGGTGGCTCAGCCTGTAATCCTGTGCCTTGGGAGACTGAGGTGAGTGGATTGCCTGAGCCTGCGGGTTCGAGACCCGCCTGGGCAACTTGGCGAGACCTCATCTCTATAATAAATTAAAAAATTAGCTGGGTGTGGTAGCACGTGCCTGTAGTTCCAGCTACTTGGATGGCTGAGGCGGAAGGATTGCCGGAGCCCAGCAGGTCGAGGCTGCGGTGGCCGGGAGCGGCCTCTGCACTCCACTCTGGGCTACAGGGTTAGACTCAAAAAAAAAAAAGAAACATGTAATCGTGTTGTCTTCAATACATTAAACTATTTGAAGATTTTTTTCATTTAAAGTTGAAGAGAATTTTAGTTCATTGCTGGGTGAGACAGAACTAAATTTCCTTGTTTCTCTTGAGAGTTTTAATGCAATTCTCATTTTAAATGGTTTTTTGTTTGTTTTATAGATTTAGTGTACCATTATGGATGGAGGGGATGATGGTAACCTTGTTATCAAAAAGAGGTTTGTGTCTGAGGCAGAACTAGATGAGCGGCGCAAAAGGAGGCAAGAAGAATGGGAGAAAGTTCGAAAACCTGAAGATCCAAAAGGTATATGCACTTGAAGTTTGACATTCAATATACTGATCTTTAATCTTCGTAACATCCCTGCAAAAGTAGGTATGAATGGTCCTCACTTTAGAGTTGAGGAATGGAGTCTCAGAAGGGTGAAATAACCTAGGTGAAACCTTCTATAGCTGGGAGCAGAACCAAGGTACTACTCCATCATTGTCCTTTTCTGCCTGCCATACTGCCCTCTAGGAGATTCTGCTAGTCTGTGTTATCTATACAGGTTGACCCATGGTCTAAATAGCGGAGAGCACTGCTGCTGTGGAGAGTTTGGGCTGGCCCTTCAGTGAACTGTCTAAGGCCACACTATTGACATCGACAGTTAGCTTTAAGAACTTCTGGTCCCTCTCTAAGGTCCAAAGGGAAACTGTGGACTTGGTACTATTTTTGTGTTATCCTTGCCCTCAGATCATGCAGAGACTTGACTTTCTCTTTAAAACCCTTTGTGATTCCAAAATAATATGAAAAGTAACCCTTTCTCCTCTCCTCTCCTTTTCCTTTCAGAATGTCCAGAGGAGGTTTATGACCCTAGGTCTCTATATGAAAGGCTACAGGAACAGAAAGACAGGAAGCAGCAGGAGTATGAGGAGCAGTTCAAATTCAGTAAGTTTCAGAAAATACAGAGTTCAAGGGACTCTGCAGGGTCTTTTGAATGCAGTTTTGCCTCATTCAACACTTTCTGAAACTAACCATGGAATTTTCTTGAATATCTAGTCCTGCAGATGCTCATTTGGTAGAAAAGAGATGATGCTGAACATTTTTGACCATGCTGAACATTTTTGTTTAGAGCTCAAAACACTCATTCTAATTCTCTGGTAATATCTAATAATGAGAGAAATGCCTTGATTTTCATGCCCTGTTATCTATTCAAAAGCCATGGTGTTTACCAGTTCTTTCTTCTAGTCCCCTGAAGAATGTGCTATTTATTAAAAAAAGGAAAAGAAAAAAAATTTTATTTTTTCCCTTAGCCTATTAAGTGTTCCTTGCTTAATTACTTCCTCAGAAAACATGGTTAGAGGATTAGATGAAGATGAGACCAACTTCCTTGATGAGGTTTCTCGGCAGCAGGAACTAATAGAAAAGCAGCGAAGAGAAGAAGAACTGAAAGAACTGGCGGAATACAGAATATCCTTTGTACTTTGAGAGAAATCTGTAAGGTGTTCGTTTTCTCATCAGCATCTATGGATTTCAGTTTTATGATAAACAGAAAGAGGATTTTATGTGTGTGTGTCAGAGTCTTACTTTGTTGCCCAGGCTGGAGTGCAGTGGCACGCTCACAGCCACCATAGCTTTGACTTGCTGGGCTCAGGTGATCCTTCCGCCTCAGGCTTGCAAGTAGCTGGAACCACAGGTATGCGCTACCATGCCCAGCTGATGTTTTAATTTATTGTAGAAATGAGGTCTCACCATGTTGCTCAGGCTGGTCTTGAACCCCTGAGCTCAGGCAGTCCTTTTACCTCCACCTCCCAAAGTGCTGGGAGTACAGACGTGAGCCATTCTGCCTGGCAGAAAGAGGATTTTCTACCTGGTAATCTCTAAAATCTCTTTCAACACTGATATTCCTATGATTTTGAAGAGCTGGCAGTGATTTATGGAGTTTATGTGGTGTTCAAGAGTGTTGCAATAAAAAATTCATATCCTTTAGGATTATGTAAAGGCAGGAATCCTAGTAGTTGGTACTACGATATTCTTGCCTCATGGGATTAAGTTCTGAGATGGATAGCAATGCAGTCACCCTCATTCAGGGGAGAAATTGACTCCTGAGTTTTGTTTTTATTTGTTTGTTTGTTTTTGAGCCAGGGTCTCACTCTTTTGCCGAGGCTAGAGTGCAGTGGCACAATCACAGCTCACCACAGCCTTGACCTCTTGGGCTCAGGCAGTCTTTCTGCTCAGCCTCTTGAGTAGCTGGTACTACAGGCATGTACCATCACGCCTGGCTATTTTTTTTTATTTTTTATTTTTTAGTTGGAGTCTCACTCTGTTGCCCAGGCTCTGGAATGCTGTGGCACTCTCATGGTCACTGCAGCCTCGACCTGCTGGGCTCAGGCAATCCTTTCGCCTCAGCCTTCCAAGTATCTGGAACTACAGGCGTGTGCCACTATGCCCAGCTAATTTTTTTTTTTTTTTTTATCGTAGAGACGAGGTCTCACCAAGTTGCCCAGGCTGGTCTTGAACCCCGGGGCTCAGGCAATCCTCTCATCTCGGCCTCCCAAAGTGCTGATATTACAGGCTTAAGTCACCGTGCCTGGTCTTTTGAGTTTTAAAATAACATGCTTTGCAACTTTCCTGTGTCCTTAGTAAGACTTCTCCCACTGTTACAGCATGGTCTGTGCCCAGAGAGGGGTTGAGAAAGCAACAAAGATGACTTTTCTTTGGCTTTAATATTGCCTTTTTGGCATCTTAATAGACATCCCAGGTGTAAGTTGGCTGAATCCAAATTCTCAATTTCATGCCACATCACCCCCACTCTCATCACACTGTTCTCCCCCAAAGTCTTTTTTCTGGACTTCTCAGGCTCAGTAACTGGTGGTCTTATGCCCCAGGTGCCTGGACCCAAAACTACCTCCAAAATGTATTCCCAATCACTTCAGTACTTGGTATCTCTACTGCTACTGTAGCAGTTGTAGACTTTCCTCTGATTGCTATGACCATCTAATTGGCTTCTGGTTTTGCTCTCATTCTCAATAATCTGTTCTTCAGACAACAAAGGACACTTTTTTTTTTTTGGTCGGAGTCTCATTCTGTTGCTTAGGCTGGAGTGCAGTGCAGCACTCATGGCCACTGCTGCCTCAACCTGTTGAGCTCAGGTAACTTTCTGCCTCAGCTTTCCAAGTAGCTGGAACTAAGTGCCACCATGCCCAGCTAATTTTTTAATTTATTGTAGAGAGAGGTCTTGTCAAGTTGCCTAGGCTGGTCTCGAACCACTCGATTCAGGCAATCCTCTTGCCTCCACCTCCCGCCGAGATTACAGGCATGAGCCACTGCCCCCGGCCCAAAGAGGACTTTTAAAAACATATATGGCATCATGTTACTTTTCTGTTTGAAACACTCTAGCGGCTTCTGATTGCGTTTAGACTAAAGGCTACATTCTTTATCAGGCCCTAGAAGGTTTTGTGTGATTTAGGCCAACCTGCCTCCCTGTTGCATATTAAAACCACTCGTAATCCCAGCACTTTGGGAGACTGAGGTGAGTGGATTGCCTGAGCCTATAAGTTCGAAACCAGCCCAGGCAACTTGGCAAGACCTCGTCTCTACAATAAATAAAAAAAATTAGCTGGGCATGGTAGCGTGCACCTGTAGTTCTGGCTACTTGGAAGGCTGAGGCAGAAGGATTGCTGGAACCCAGCAGGTCGATGCTGTTGTGGCCATGAGTATGCCACGCTCTCTAGCCTGAGTGACAGAGTGAGACTCCAACTCAAAAAAAAACAACAACAAAAAACACTCTTTCTTGTGTTGACTGTGCCCCAACCTGTTGGCCTTCTTTATGTTACTCCCTCACTAGGCTTTGCAAACCTACTCAAGGTCTTCAACTTGCTATTTCCTCAGCCTGAAATGTTCTGCCTTCAGATTTCCAAGGCTGGCATTTCATGGCTCAGGTCTCAGTTTAACTCTCCCATGTGGAGATCTTCCTAAGCACTCCGGCTAAAATTGTACCCACCCCATCTCTGTCTGTAATTCCATTTTTTATAGCATTGTTACTCTCTTAAAGTTTTCTTACTTGCTTACTGGTTTATGTCTTTACTACTGGAGTGTAATGTAAGTAACCTCCTTAAGAGCCAAGACTTTATGACTTGATCACCTCTGATTTCCCCAGTGCCTGGCACATGGTAGGTTCTCAGTAAATTAATGTGAATAAATTAGCGAATGGCTCATGGAAGATGTTAATAAAACCCCTAACATTTTTTCTCTTGTTAGTAAACTTATTTGGATATTTCAAGCTTACATGTTGAATAATATCATTAGTGTTATTGAACAGACTTCACTTCTAAGATTGATGATATGACTTGTGTATGTGCTAATTGGTACCTTCTTGTTGGTAGTTTACAGTAGGTGCCATTAAAGAATTATGTGGGCTGGGTGCAGTGGCTCAAGCCTGTAATCCCAGCACTTTGGGAGGCCGAGGCAAGAGGATTGCTTGAGCCCAGGGGTTCGAGACCAGACTGGGCAACTTGGCGAGACCTCGTCTCTACAACAAATGAAAAAATTAGCCCAGTGTGGTGTCGCGCGCCTGTGGTTCTGCCTACTTGGAAGACCGAGGCAGAAGGATCACCTGAGCCCAGCAGGCTGAGGCTGCAGTGGCCATGAATGTGCCACTGCACTCTAGCCCGGGTGACAGAGTGAGATTCCGACTCAAAAAAAAAGAATTATGTGGATGAAAATGTGGACAAATTCTCTTGGAACTGTTGTAGATCTGAACTGGCAGCAAAAGTCCTGAATTCCAGTCCTAATTTTGTTAGTGGCATTCAGGTGCAACATGAAGCTAGGAGATGATGGGAAGTTACACCTCAATACCAACTGCAGAATTGAGACCAATTCTTTTGAACACTACCCCCCTCTCTCCATCTTGATGACCCCAGGATAATATCATGTGTTTGTAAAGATAGGCAGATACATGGATTGCATTGTTTCTGACACCAAGCTTTTTCTCTAAGGAAATACATTCATTACACGTGTCACTTGAATTATATCTTGTTTGGCAGACTAGCAAATAAGACATAAAGTGTCTCTGGAGAGTAGTGCCGTGAGTGTGAGATGCCCTTTGGTTTTCAATTAAAGAGAAAGACTGAACAGGGCAGCAATAAGGCAAAAGAAACCTTTCTGTCCTGGTAACACTGCAGTAGCATTAAAGAGGATTCAGGGATATTGACTTTAACTGGAAACTTAGAAAGTTCTGGCTGTCTAGAAAAATTGAAGAAAAACAGGCCTTCCAACCCACTGACATATAGCATATTAATCCCAAGCACGCAAGTAGCCAGAGACGTGTTGAGTTAGGAATTGAGGATTAGACGTTTGTTTATCAAAGCTCTAAATTAGGAGCTGGTTCTTGACTTTGCTTGATTATTATATGATACATTTTATAACATGATACTTCTGAATAAAAATAAGCAGCGGTTTGTGCCATGTAAACAACAGAATTCTTGTTGTTTCCTCTCAGGTTAAACCAGTATTTAGCAATATTATGCATGTTTTAAAAAATGCAACTTTTAAGGAGTGCCTCATCTAATGAATTTCTTGAGATTTTTGAGGTGTATTTGTCTTTTTAAAGCATTTTGGGGGATGGACTTAACTGCAAAAACTTACTTATACTTTGGATGTGGATAAAAAATAAGATTATTACCACCAACAACCTCCCCCAACCCCGCAAAGGTTAGGGCTTTTCTTCACTTTATTTTTTTCAGATTGGAAAATATAGTTTATTTAGAAAGCATATTAGAGAGAGAGAGAGAGAGAGAGGAAGAGAGAAAGAATTCACCTTCCCAAGGTAGGGGAGAGGGCCAAAGCTAAGGAATCAAAAGCATGGCTGCTTTTCTTCACTTTAAAAGAATAAAAAGTTGAGCCAGGCTTGGTGGCTCAGCATGTAATCCCGCGCTTTGGGAGGCTGAGATGAGTGGATTGCCTGAGCCCGTGGGTTCGAGACCCGCCTGGGCAGCGAGACCTCATCTCTACAATAAATCAAAAAGTCAGCCGGATGTGGTAGCGCATGCCTGTAATTCTGGCTACTTGGAAGGCTGAGGCGGAAGGATCGCAGGAGCCCAGCAGGATGAGGCTGTGGTGACTGTGAGTGTGCCACTGCACTCCAGTCTGGGTGACAGAGTGAGACTCCAACTCAAAAAAAAAAAAGAATAAAAAGTTGAATGTTGGATTTTTTTCTATGTTGTGGTATTATAAATATATGTGTGCTTTTTTCCATTTTTTGTTTTAGTTTTCAATATTTAATATTGAGAGTTTTCTTGGAGAATTTCTGTCTCTTGAAGGCGTTGCAGGTAAAAATGCTCATGGTTTTTGGCATTCTCTACCAGAACAATGAAATCTCTTTAATTTTTTTTTGGTAAAAATAAACATTTGGTATTACCATGTTAACTGTTTCTGTGATGACCTTAAAAACATTAAATTGATGAATTCATATTAGTGCTGATCATTATACATAATCCCCATTGAATACTGCAAATATTTAAGGTAACTGGTTCCCATAAGAACAGAGTTAGTGCCTGGAGTGATTAGAATTAGAATTTTCTTATTTCTGGTACCCAGTTTTCTCCATTGTTCAAATACACATAGATAAATAACTTTGACCATATATCCCGTACTTCCACCTACCGCTTTAGTATGATAATTCATGCTTCTTAGATTCATGCTTAGCTTTCTTGGGCACTAGATGTCACTAGTGTTCCAATAAGGTACTACTGCATCTTAAATAAGGACTTATCTGTTGTGGAAGACGTTGTGAGAGAGAGCATGAAAGGAAGGGAAGGATGGAGGCTAGTGGAGAGAAAAGCAAAAGTAACAGACTTGGGGGCCAAAGATTGACATCCAGCATGAACAAATATATTACAAATGAACTGGCTGTGCTTTTAAAAACAACTTTTCTGTTCTTGTGTTGTATATGCCACAGGATTTCTAATTAAAGTCATCTTGAGAGAGTATTTAAAACAGACTCCTGGGCCCCTAGAGGTCTTTATTCAGAAGTTTGAGGTAGGAAGGAACCTGACCTTTTTAATGAGCCTTGGGACGATTCTGATTTTCCCTTGACCAGTACAGTAGGAGTTAGTCTTTACAGTGTTGGAGATTGAAGGCAGCAGATAGTCATAAGGACAGTCTACAAAATTTTGAGTTTATCCTTAGAGAAGAAGCACATATTTTCAGGGAAGCCACTTGTTTTTTTCTGTTTCCTTAAGATCTTTGTTTTTCCTATCAAGCATAATATTGGCCATGTCTTTGGTAATAGCAGGTTTTCTGACTGTGCTCAGATTTTCTTTCAGTATTAGAAGACAAGTTTCTTCTCTGTATTATTTTGGGCTTGATATGCTATCTTCCTCTGTGATCACCTGCATTTCTGGATTTGATTGGCTGAATAAAGGATGGGGGGGACTTTTTTATATAAGTAGTCTAGACAGTACACAGCACATCTGACAGGCTAGTGGGTTATTATATTTGTTGTGCTTTGCTTGATTTACCATTGCCCTGTGGTAGTTCTTCCTTTTGCTTAGTTTGACCTTTAACCTGTAACTCACAATAATCTCAAGAAGGTTGGAATGTCTTCAGAAAACAAGAAGGAAGTAGAGAAGAAACCACCTGTGAAACCCATAGAAAGCAAGACCAAGTTCTCCCAGGCGAAGCTGTTGGCTGGAGCTGTGAAGCATAAGAGGTCAGCCAGTACTTGTGCAGCTTAGGTTTCCCTCTGACCATGTGCTTTGAAATGCCGCTTATCATGGTCACCAGAGCAAAAAAAGACCTTTCATAAGTCTTGGTGAAGTTCCTTTGGTGTGCTCACCTCTCTCTCCCCTTCCCTATTTGGTATTTTCTGTAACCTTTGACCTTTGTCTCTCTGATTCATTCAACACACATGATAGCTACTCTTCATTGGCCATCTGCCATGGGCTAGACATTGTGTTAAGTGCTTCCCGTGCACAATCTCATTCCTCAACAATTCTCTGCAGTACACATTAATATAATCCCTGTTTTACGGATGGGAGGACCAAGCATTTGAGAGGTTGAGAACCTTCTTTGTCCAAGGTCACAAAATAACAGGAGAGCTAGAGTTCAATATTTGAGTGTCTATCTAGGCAAATGAGGTAGAAGGTCTTGTGAAAGGATCTGTGTGGGGCATAATAGAGCAAGGAGGAGGAACATATAACTGCCGGAGAGTGTGTGTGTGCTCATGTTGGGGAAGTTAGGGAGGGCGTTAGAAAGATGTTGAGATAGGACAGCTAGAGCTTTGGCAGAAGGGACAAGGGAGAGAACAAGCCAGGCAGAGAGAACGGTGGCTGCAAATGTATTGTGGCCTGAAAGAACGTGGCTCACAGGGCTACAGACCTGGCTGTGGCTCTGTTTGATTGATGTGGGGGCGGTAGTACTACCTGAAGGTTTTGTAAGTTTTTTGCTGGGCTTGCTTCTCTCTTTCCAAATCCTGAAATAGCACCAGAGCGATTGAATCTGGCCATTTCAATCTGACCCAATAGACCATGGACGAAATGATGTTAAGTTTAAGTACAGTCTATTAAGAAAATCAATATGGTATATTGCAGCCAGCCATATGTTTTGAAGGGAGTATTGATGCAGTCTTGTCCTTTGGCATACCACCCATCTGCTGCAGATGTTCCTAGGAACATTGCCTACATGTAACAATGTCATCATGTTATAGCAGCAGAGGGAAGGAGTATTAGTAGCCTGAAAAGGGCTTGATATCCAAGCCATGAATTGTTCCTTTCAAGTTCTCACATAAGCGTTCCTGCAATATCCAGGGTCTTCAGAATTTGGACCTAGGTCAGTTTTACTGGACTGTGCCAAGGTATGGCTCTCCAGGTGGGCAAATGGTTATCTCTCAGGAATGCTCTTGAGTAGCAGAATGGGAGGTGTTAACTATCTCCCTTAGTCCTCAGATCACCTTTAGAAAAGGCTCTGTATTTGGTGATCTGCATATAACCCCCTTTGGATTTTGAAAATGTATCATTTAATGCTGCTTTGTGTTGCAAAGTGATGGATTAGTCTTCTGGGGCAGGAGTTCCTAATCTGTCCTGTCCTGGATTTATTACCTGGGAGTTTGTTCATGTGTATTCCCAGTTCTCACACTAATTCTGGTTCAGTAAGTTTGGAGTGAGGTCTGGGGGGTTGTAATTTTTAAGGTTTCATGGTTGATTCTGAAGGCTGATGAAAGTCTGGAAGCCATTGATGTGTATATGTTATGAAGCATAAAAACAAGCATCTATTTTTTGCCTTCTTCAAAGGTTACTTCTTTGTTTTGCTTTCTTCTAGTTTATTCTTTTGTCTATTGTTCTAAACAACTGTCAGGTACCTAGCTCATTCATTTTCAACCTTTTCAGTTATAGACATCTAAAGCTATACATTTTCCTCAGCTTTCATTGTATGCAAACTTTGTGTTTCCTTCTAACTATTTTTTAAACCTGTTGCCCAGGTTGGAGTGTTATGATGTGATCATAACTCACTGCAGCCTTGAACTCCTAGACTCAACTGATCTTTCTGGTTCAGCCTCTTGAGTAGCTGGGACTACCGATGTTCCACTACACCTGACTTATTTTAAAATATTTTTTAGAAACTGAATCTTGCAGGGCTGGGCTCGGTGGCTTAGTCTGTAATCCCAGCAGTTTGAGAGGCCGAGGTGAGTGGATTGCCTGAGCCCGTGGGTTCGAGACCCGCCCGGACAATTGGTGAAACCTTGTCTCTACAATAAATCAAAAAATTAGCTGGGCGTGGTAGCATGCGCCTGTAGTTCCGGTTACTTGGAAGGCTGAGGCGGAAGGATCGCCGGAGCCCAGCAGGTCGAGGCTGCAGTGGCCGGGAGCATGCCACTGTACTCCAGTCTGGGTGACAGTGAAACTTCAACTCAAAAAAAAACAAAACAAAACTGAATCTCCCTATATTATCCTGGCTGATTTTGAACTTCTGGGCTCAAGTAATCTCTCTTCAGCCTCCCAAAGTGCTGAGATTACAGTTGTGAACCACTGTGCCCAGTTCTCTCTAAGTATTTAAAAATATACTTTATGACTTCTTTGACTCAGAAATTATTTAGAAATATTTATTTTAAATCTCCATGTTGAGATTAACCATATTTCATTTGTCCTAAGATAAACCCCCACATTTTAACTTAATGATGTTAAAATAATCAATGGTATCTTATAGGCTACAAAGTATATTTATCTTTACTTATTGATTTTTAACTTAACTGCATTATGGTTTGTATATACTGATTCTCCTAAAGTTGTTTTAAGTCCAGGCGCAGTGACTGACGCCTATAATCTTAAATACTTTGAGAGGCCAAGGTGGGAGGATTGCTTGAACCCAGGAATTCGAGACCACCTTAGGCATCATAGTAAGACTTTGTCTCAATAAAACATTTGCCAGGTGTGATGGCACATGCCTGTAGTTCCAGACACTTGGAGGCTAAGGAAGAAGGATTGTCTGAGCTGTGGTGAGCCGTGATTATGTCACTGCACTCTAGCCTAGGCGAGAGAGTGAGATCCTAATTCAAACAAACAAACAAATAAATCGGGTTGCTTTAGACTTGCTTTGTTATCTGTTCCTGAGGTTAACTTTTTGTGAATATTCTAAGTAAGTTTGAGAAGAATCTGTGTTTGTTATTGTTGGTTCTGGGTTATTTGTAGATGAAACAAATCAAGCTTGTTAAATGTATTGTTCAAATCTTCTGTGTCTTTTTGTATTTGTCTGCTTGACCTTTCAGTACTTGGGAGAAGTATTTTGAAGTCTTCCACTATAACAGTGATTTTTGAATTTCTTCTCATAGCTCTGTCAAATATATACCTTAAGCTTCTTAATTAGATGCATACATGTTCAGAATTGCCAAGTTTTTATTTTTATTTTCTAAGTGAGAAAGCAGAATTTATTGAGAGGAGAGACAAGTTCCCACAGTGGGAGGGGACCCGAAGGGGGTGCCCCATCAAGTTTTTATATGTTTCTTATAAATAGCTGCTTTTAAATTTAGTCTGTTAATCTCTGTTAACTAGTAAGTTTAGTCTTCTTATAATATTAAGATTTTTGATATAATTTATATTTTTAATGTTATTTTTCTTTTGGCTTTCTACAAATAGTTTTTCTTGTATTCTTAGCATTTTAAAAAATGATTCTGATTAAAAAATATTTTATTCTTTTTTTTTCTTTCTACTAGTTTGCATTTATATCCTGAAATTTGCCAGGTGCACTTAGCAAACTCTAAAGTAAATGGCTCTCTTACTATCCTACAGAATTACATATGGACCTTAGAACCTTTAGCAACAATTGCCCTCTTCCTTCTTTACATGCTACTATGCTCCGGGACTTCAGTATGGTCATTAAAACACCACACATTATATGTCACATTTTATACAAACGCCATTTGTTTAGATTTATATTTCTATTTGCCAGTTTCTTTGTTCACCATCCTTTTCTTCTGGGATTATTTCTTTGTTGGTCAAAATACATTCTCTAGACATTCTTTTAGTGAAAGTCTTTTGGGTGACTCAGAATCTCTAGCATGTCACTGAAGGTGTTTTCTTTAATCTCTAATAACTTAACTAAATTTTTGTCATTTGTGAACATGTCCAAATGTTTATGAAATCCATCTGTGGGTCTAACCAAAATGAATTATAAGGACAGCAAAGACTCAGAAGTCTAAGTGATGCTTGAAGATACAATGCTTTGCTCCTTGGATTTGTCAGGAGTTTAAATTGTCCTTATAACTAATGATGTAATTGGAAAGAGATTAAGAATCTGAAATGAAGGACTTTTCATTTTACATCATCCCAGCTGTCCGAGGCTACCTAAGACCCATATAAATAGTCATTGGAGCTCCTGCTTCTCTAAGCTTTGATCCTGAAGATTGACTGTAGCTCAAATCACATGTGTTTTGTTACAGCTCTGAGAGTGGCAACAGTGTGAAAAGACTGAAACCAGACCCTGACCCAGATGACAAGAATCAAGGTGGGTGGCTCCCTTTACCTTTTTCTTTTACTTATAATACATGTGAACCAGAATGCATTCTATCTGCAGATGAATGCACTATTCCCTCTTACCAGTTTATTTTATACCAGGTAGAATTTTTATCCAAGAGTATATTGGCTACCCTGTAAAAGTAATATGTTGGAAACCAGTGGAGTTGATAAATAACAATTGTGCTCTCCCAGGAATGCTTACAGGGCCCTGGTCATATCACCTCTGCTCACAAAGGGTTTTTTTCTGTTTCCGCAAAATGTCAAGTTTCTTGATTTCACCTGACTTGCCTGGCTCCTGCTCTTTATTGGATTGGATTGAGCCTAGAAGCATAGTACAGTCTTCAGGAGTGTACTGTCTTTGGTTTTTATCTTTATGTGATGAAATCTGCTTTTGTATTAAGTGGCAAGAAGTTGTATGTGAAGGTTAATGTTCTTGGGACTGGATTAGGGATGAGAAATTCAAATCTGTTTTCAATTTCACCTTGACTCCCTGTGGGATTGAGACTCTGAACTGAAATCCATGGGTCAACAGGGCTTACACTTATTTCTCTTCCAAAAATAAGCAATGGATGCTTTTTTATGTATCTACTGAGCACCAGTGATGGTGGGCTGTTGCTGTTACCCTTTTGCTGTAGAACCCAATTTTAATAAGACTTTCAGTGAAGATTTTCTCTTCTATCTATATCCTCTTCCATCTAGTTCTCCGTAGAGAAAAACAGTATTATACGTTTCTTATGTGTCTGTTTAGAGCTATTCTGTGTATGCACAAGCAAGTACAAATATATGTATGCATTTATATTTACTGCTTTGGATAATTTAAAACATATTCAAAACTTGGGATAACAGTATAATGAACCCCTATCACCTAGCTTCAATAATTTCTAACATAGCCAATCTTATTTCATTTATTCCTCCCCAACTCTAATATTTTAAGACAATTCCAGCATCATATCATTTAATTCATAATTCTTTAGTATGTATCTCTAAAAAATAGAGTTTATTTTCCCTTTTTTTAACAATTGCCATATCATTATTATATCTAGAATAATCACAATAATTACTAAGTATTATCAGATATGTTGCATTCATTTTCCTCAATTGTCTCAAAACATTTTTTTCTTGACAGTTTTTTTTTGTTTTTTTGTTTTTGAGTTGGAGTCTCACTCCGTCGCCCAGACTGGAGTGCAGTGGCCTCTCCCGGCCACCGCAGCCTCGACCTGCTGGGCTCCAGTGATCCTTCCGCCTCAGCCTTCCAAGTAACTGGAACTACAGGCGCGCGCCACTATGCCCGGCTAATTTTTTTTTTGGATTTATTGTAGAGATGAGATCTCGCCAAATTGCCCAGGCAGGTCTCAAACCCGTGGGCTCAGGCAATCCACTCACCTCGGCCTCCCAAAGTGCTGGGATTACAGGCTGAGCCACCGAGCCCGGCCCCAGTTGTTTTTTTTTTAAACTTAGGATACAAGCAAAGACAAGACATTATATTTGGCCGTGGCATTTTTAAAAAGTCACTGAGGTATGATTCACATACCATAAAATTCACCCTTTAAACAAGGATACAGCTCGGTGGCTTTTTGTATGTTCACAAGGTTATACAGCTATCATTACAGTCTAGTTTCAAAATTCTTTCAACACTCAGAAGAAACCCAGCACCATTAACAGTTATTCCCCATTCCTCCTCCCCCCAGCCACTGGCAACCACTAATCTACTGTGGATTTTGCTTTTCAGACCATTTCATAAAAAATTGAATCATACAACATGTGGCCTTTTGTGTCTAGATTGTTTTCACTCACCATAATGTTTTCAAGGTTCATCCATGTTGTAGCATGTGTTAGTACTTTTTACTAATGGTGGGCTAATATTCATTATAGGATATCACATTTTGTCCATTCATTTATTAATGAACATTTGGGTTGTTTCCACTGTTTGGGTAATATAAATCATGCTGCTAATGAACATTCATGTGCATGTTTTTGGGTAAACAACTGTTTCCACTTCTATTGGGTATATACCCAGGAGTCGAGTTGTTGGGTCATATGTAGCCATGTTTAGTTTTTTGAGGAACTGCAAAACTGTTTTCCAAAGTAGCTGAACCATTTTTACATTCTAATATATGAGGGTTTCAGTTTTTTCACATTCTTGTCAACACTAGTTACTATCTTATTTACTGTAGCCATCCTTGTGGGTATGAAGTGGTGTCTCATTGTGGATTTGGTTTGCATTTCCCTATGACTAATGATGTTGTACTATTGGCCATTTGTATATCTTCTTTGGAGACATATTTATACAAATCCTTACACTGTTTTTAAAGTGGTTTGTCTTTATTGTTGAGTTGTAAGAGTTCTTTATATATTCTAAATACTAGACACTTATCAGATGGATGCTTTGTAAATGCTTTCTCCTATTCTGTAGGTTTTCACTTTCTTGATAATATCCTTGGAGCACAAAGTTTTAATTTTGATGACATTCCATTTATCTGTTTTATTCTTTGGTTGCTTTTACTTTAGGTGTCATATCTAAGAAACCATTGTCTAATCCATGGTCGTGAAAATTTATATCTATATTTTCTTCAAAGAATTTTATAGTTTTAGCTCCTATACATTAGACCTGATTTTTGCGTATAACATGAAGTAGGGATCCACTTTCGTTCTATGTGGATATCCAGTTGTCCCAGCACTATTTGTTAAAAAAGACTATTCTTAGGCCAGGCGCGGTGGCTCATGCCTAAAATTCCAGCACTTTGGGAGGCCGAGGTGAGAGAATTGCATGAGCCCACAGGTTCGAGACCACCTGGGCAACTTGGTGAGACCTTGTCTCTACAATAAATCAAAAAATTAGCCTAGTGTGATGGTACGTGCCTGTAATTCCAGCTACTTGGCAGACTGAGGTGGAAGGATCACCTGAGCCCAGCAGGTCGAGGCTGCAGTGGCTGTGAGTGTGCCACTGCACTCCACCCTGGGCGACAGAGTGAGACTCCAACTCAAAGAAAAAAAAAGATTATTCTTTCTTCCACTGAATTGTCATGGCTCTCTTGTCAAAAGTTAGTTGATTGTAATTATATGAGTATACTTTTGGATGCTTTTCCATTGATCTATGTTTGTTCGTATACCATTACCACACAGCCTTAATCATTATAGCTTTATAGTAAATTTTGAAATTAGGAAGGGGAGGAGCACAACATCAATAAGAGTACCTGATCTCAAACCAGGCAAAGTGGGGGAAATGGGAGGCCCAAACTTCACCTGTACAGTGAGCACTTGTATACCTAATCCTGAATTGTGCCCCACATCTTTAAAATAAAATTTTTAAAAATTAAGAAATTAGGAAGTGTGAATCTTCCAACTTTGTTCTTTTTCAAGATTGTTTTGGCTATTTGAGGTCACTTGTATTTCCATATAAATTTTGGGTCCAGTTTGTCAATTTTTGCAAAAAGGTAGCTGAGATTTTGTTACATGGATTATTGGAACTTGTAGATTAATTTGGGAATATTGCCAATCTGTGCCATCTTACCAATAGAGTAATATGTCTTTGAAATCAAATTTAACCTGTTAATTCTAACTCCTTTCTAAACCTGTGTTTTGTTTTCTTTGTATTTTTGTAGAAAAACTCAGTCTTTGTTCTGTGGAGTTTCCCACACTCTAGATTTTGCTATTTGCATCCCTAAGGTGTTCCCTTATACCTTGTTTCCTGTAAAATGGTAATTAGATCTAGAAGCTTGATCAATTCAAGTTTATTTTTTTGGCAAGACTGCTTCATACATGGTTTTTACATTTTCATTATTAGTAGTATTTTAATTTAACCTATTCTTGTTTTCATTGCTTAGTTCCCTTGTTATCATACCTTGGAAATTGCTACATAATTGGACATAAAGAACTTCCTCCCTTTTTTTTTTTTTTAAGAGACAGGGTTTTGCTCTGCTGCCTAGACTGAAGTGCAGTGACCTGAGCATAGGTCACTGCAAACTTGAAGTCTTGGGCTCAAGTGATCCTTCAGCCTCCCAAGTAGCTAAGACTGACAGGTGCATGCCACCATGCCTGGCTAATTAAAAAAAAATTGTAAAGATGGGATGGGACCCAAAAAATTGTAAAGATGGGATGCTATGTTGCCCAGGCTAGTCTTGAACTCCTGGCCTCCCTACTCAGTTTCCCAAAGTGTTGGATTATAGGCATGAGCCACTGTGCCCTACTAAATTATCCCAATTTATACTCTCATCAGCAATGTAGAAATTCCTGTTCGTTGACATCTTTTTAATGTATAGGAAACTTTCTAAAATATGACTGCTTGTTTAGGATAGGTGTATACCGTATATATGTATACACACACATAAAACTTCATAGGAATTTTTTAAAAAGTTAATCAATTCCCTTTAGAGATGAGGTCTTACTGTGTTGCTCAGGCTGTAGTGCAGTGGCTATTCACGGGTGTGATCATGGTACACTACAGCCCCAAATTTCCTGGGCTTAAGCAGTCCTCCCACTTTAGCATCCCGAGCAGCTGGAACAACAGGCACATACCAGTGCACCTGGCATAGGAATCGTAAATGTATTTCAACTAGTAAGCCAGTTGCCCTGTATCTGGTTCTTATTTTGTGGCAGGAACTATTTGAATGAATCATTGGAAAAGAAAACTTGTTGTGGTTTTTTTGACTATCTCAGGCAAACACTTGTGTTTCAGAGTCATCTTTTTTATCATTCTAAATCCTTTTTCCTACCACTGCATTCTTGCAGCAGAAGCTAGGCGAGAAATATTCTCCTTTACTTGGAATTAAGGCCCCATAAAAAGAATACTCCCGAAGCTTGCTTAGAGTATCATCCTCAGTGGTAGAAAAACTTGCCCCTTGGTCATCCCCTATAGCTCTGTGACCCTGATGGAGATTCAAGCTTCCCCCATTGAAGAATTGAACTTGAGCTCTGAGCAGAGCCAGTGAATGCACAAGTTGGCCCTATCTACTCCCAAATCACGCATCTGTCTGAATACTAAGAACGTTT